TTTACTTTGTTATATCTTCAAAGTCCTTTTCCCACATAAGGTGGTATATTCATACTTCCAGAAATTAGGATGTACATAGCTCTGAGGGGAGAGATTCTGTCTACCACCTTATTTTAATTATGTACTTGTTTAGGAATTAAGGAAAATAAATTTTAGTGATTTACTACTAAAATCATTATAATTTTTTTTTTTTTTTGGTTTTTCTCCGGTACCAGGAACCGGACTCACGACCTTGGGCTTGCCAGGCAGGCGCTTTGCCGCTGAGCTAAATCCCCAGCCCCAATCATTATAATTTTTATCAAGATAAATCAAGGTTGAGGGATGTCTTAGGTTATTTACAAAAAAGCGGCCACAATGATTTCTCTTCCTTTACCTGCAACTTTATGCCGCCTACTCCCACATGGACTCTGGGCTTGGTCAAGTAACCTCCTGCAGACAAGGGAAAATCGCAAAGGTGATGGAAGCAGACACCTGAGATTGCCTTCTCTTGGGAGATCATTCTGACTACCATGTAAACAAGCCAGGTAAGTCTAATATGAAGTGAGACTCATATGGCTCAAGATACTTTTATTACCAAACCAACAGCCAGCAAGGGAAGGTAGTACCAATCAAGAAGCACAAGCCACCAGGCACTTGAGAGGTCACCTTTTATTGTCTAGTCACCAGCTGGCCTGGTAAAGCACAGGCACATTAGAGGGGCCAGTGGAAAAAGTCAAACTGAGTCAAACAGAACTGCCTGGCTGAGCAATAGATCATGAACTAAATAATATGTGTTGAGGGGAATTTGTCATTTGGTAAAAGCAATTAAATAACACGGGAGAAGCTGAAGTCAAGGTGAGTTGAAGGAAAGTTCAGATGCAAGGGAATTATAACAAAGATTATCCTTTAAAACAAAAATGGTAGACACATAGCTCTTTGGAAAGTGGACGCACAAGAACAGTAGAGTACATCCAGTCTACTCCCCCTTCCCCTCCGCCTTCATCTCTTTGCCTTTGTGGACACTCAAGGTCACAGGGAATGTGCCATTAATTACATCATGAAAGGGTAAAATATCACGTGAAAGACCTTAAACATCCCATTCTGATTCTCCCATTTAATGGGAAGCTCAAACTCCAAAAGACAAAATAGCTTGCTCAATTTACCCAGAAAGTTGGCTTGTATTTGGTTTGTTTTCAATGAAAAAAAATGCATCTTGGCCAGTTTGGAAAACATGGTTTTAAGTACCCTGCAGAAGCGAGAACACAGTGCTTGGTTTACTTTTTACTCCCAAGTCTCCTGACTGAGCTTCTTATCGATGCAGCTAGAGCAAGAAACCTGGTGACTAGAAGATAATGTGACTCTTCCACGATCAAGACTTCTAGACTCGGCCTTGCAAAGATGTCTTTTTCCCAGTCGCAGAGGGGGAATGAACCTCGTGCAGGGAGCTCATCAACTGCAGCAAAGCTGCTGGTCATGAAGAGAAGGGAGAATACCGAAAAGAGTAAGGAAGGGAAGGAAAATGAAGGTGCTAAAGGACACTAATTCTTTGATTATTTCCTCCTTTAAAGAGAACTTCAGGGGATTGGATTCTTCATTCTTAAGCCCTTGGTCTCGAAGGACCAGCTGGTGTGAACCCAAGGAAGCCTGGCCTGGTATCCAGCAACGTCCCCGCAGTAGCGGGATGGTTGGACTTGCTCAGGGCCTAGCAAGCTCCAGTAGCTTCTATTCTTATCTTCAACATTTTCTTACATCAGACCTGCTTTCCAGGACTCGATGGTCTTCTTCACACCCTATGCCTCTGTACCACTCTCTGCCTCGGCCTGCAGTGTGCTTTTCGTACTTGTCTGTCTTGTACACGGCTGCTGCCTTCTAGCATGGCCTTGCTGAAACCTTCCGTGGTTCCTCCAGGGTGAGCTGTTTGCCTTCCCCTATAGTTTCTGAAGTTTGACTCCCTGGCTTACAACATTAATTCTGCCAGGTGTGGCTACATCATTGCCAACTGGTGTTGCCAGAAGTTTCACTTTTGAGGAGCTTTAGTACAATCATTTCTGGGACCTGGCATTAGATTCCCTGACATGCAGCAGTTACAAGTTCTTTTATTCTGTTGAAACCTTTAGGTTTATGCAGCCTTACCAAAGAAACAGAGTTTGGCAGTGGGCTTTAAAGATTGTTTTCTGGTGTGCTTAATAGAAAGGAACTGCAAAGCAGATGTGTGTGCCTTCGGAAAGAGCAAGGTGAGCTAGTTCTTGGAAATGGTGTTACCAAGTCTAGTGGGAGCCACTCACCTTCTTGGTAAGCTGCTTTTGAAGAGAGATGACATGTATGTTTGGAAAAATAGCTTTACAACAGCTTCGCAAAACCTAGTAGACTGATATGGTTCACAGATTCAGGATAGAATTAGCTTACAAGGCATCAGGCATGCTACTGCCTACTGGATAAGACTAAAAGAGTATGGCTTTTCAACTAACCTGCCTTTAAATAACAGATGCATATTCTTGGAATACCAATCAGATTCTTTCTATTGGAGGAATTTATATCTTGCTGTCAGCTTATTTCTGCCTTTTCCACTTCTGAAATCCATTTCTAATTATCATGAAACAGCACTCCTATTCAAAAAGGTGCAATAAAATATAACTGGAAAGAAACCTTAAAAGTTCAAAATATAAATTGTTTTTAAAAGTTGTATAATAAGGTACCATTAGTTAGAGCCTAGTGATTGATCATACTTTGGCCTAAATTTCATTCTTGCATTAGCTATAAAACAAAGGCTTACTGTAAAAATTGATAAACAGATGCGGAGGGGCACTGTAATTTAAGAGGTCAGAATATTTTGAAACCCTTGAGTAATATCAAGTTTGGTAAAAAACCCAATATGCCAATTAAGAGGCATTTATTCAGTGAAGTAGGTGATGTTTGGTATTTATTTCTCAATATATTTTAAGTACAGCTGATAGTTTACTTGGCAATAATGGCAGTAAGTCAGTTTTAAAATATTCTATATTTGCACCTTGTTAGCTGACGCTGCTAAGATTTTGCTGTATTTAGTTATTTTTTAGGAAGAACATTTTCTGCGAAGTTGTTTTGCTTATACTGTAAACTATTCTCCTTAGTGGGAAATGGCTGCTGAGTATGCGAAACAGCACAAAAGACTTCAGCCAGAAGACACTGTGATCACTTGAAAGTCTCCATCCCTGCAAAATTCTCCATTCAGGCTTATGAAGGGAATCCAATTCAGCAAACAGCTAATTAGACAAAGCACAAGCTTTCAGCAGGCCTGTAATTTCGACTGCATTGTCCTCCGTTCCCACCTTGCATTAGGAGCAACGTGCTTTTGTTCTAGGCAATGCTATGCCTGGCTCCCTGAGCTTGTGCTCGGGGAGCAGCAGCCTGGACAACTCTCCCACATCCCCTCAGAGTTGTGAGTAGGACCTGGTCTACTCTCCCTGGTCATCAATTTAAGGTACCAAAACTAAGATCAGATTATTAAGAGGGAGTTACAAGACTTCGATTTATTGAGGATCAAAATTTCTTGGCTTTTCGTATACTATACTACTATTAGTAGGAAAAGTTAGCAGCTTCATCAGTTGAGGTGTATGTGCAGTAGTTTTAGATAAGTGATGAACTTGGAATTTGAGGATGTCTGTCATACAGGTTTGTGATATGCCATCTATCTTTGTTTCTAGGTCTCCTCTTACCTTGGGCTGTTTGTATAATTATAGTTGTTATTTCTTGGGGTACAACATAATGCTGTTCAGCATTATGACCCATTGGAAACTTCACCAGTGCTTAAACAGTTTTTCCCTTAGTAGGTGGAACTCACAAAAATATATGGTGCCATCAAGGAGCACAGTGTTCATGATGTGAAATGAATAACTTGTTAGAGACTCCTTGTGGAGCTACTGTAATGAGCTGACAATTGGTCTAGAGGTTCATTGCCTGTCTGATGACAACAAGGAACATTCATCTAAGCAAGAAGGTCTGAAATCTCCTATGGAGGTATGCTACTAAGTCACGGGATTTACTTCTCTCTACCTGGCCTAATCAACTGAGGCAGAGACTGTTATTTCAGTGAAATGAAACATGCTACTCCAGATTCACCCATTAGGTCTCTTGATTTTGATCCCAGTGGGGAGGCTTCAAGATTTAAAACAATTCTAAAACTTTATGAAGGCAAATAACTGGAATCACAATGTTTTTGTTTTCCTGAAAATGATAAAGAGCACTGATTTATTGAGTTAAAAATAACAAAAAGTTTGTGTAAGTCAAATGGAATCTGAGAATACATTGTGCCACACACTGCTGGCAGCAGTATAAAGCCTCCATTACAGAAGGAATACAACTGATTTTTTTTAGATCAAGTACAGCATGCTGAATATAGTGGATAATTGAGTACTATAAGTCTCAATTTCTCTGAGGGCAAATTTCTTCTGTTAAGTATTACAGGTGATGGTATGTTAATAAGCTTAATCATTCCATTTTACAAAACCAGAATGTCACTTTTTAGCCATAAATATAGTTTGTCAAATATAATGCAATAAATAAGAGAAAAATTTGTAATATAAAAATTATTACTGAGAAATCTCTATTCATTGAATTTTTGAGACATCGGTGTTCCAATAGGCACCATTTGATGTCACTGGCACAAAGCTGCATGAGTGGTGTAGTGGGCACGGTGCTCTAGGCATATGGTGCTTTTATAAGATTAATGACAGTGCAGTGGTTGTGTCATAGAATGCACCACTTGAAGAATTTGCTCTGATGGTTCACTGGGAAGAGAAGCTCAGGGAAATGTGAAACCAGGTTCCTTATATTGACTTTGCTGTTGGCGTAGGGGAGACGTGATGGACATGTGATCTGAGACTCTCTCCCAAGAGCCACCACATGGTAAATAAGAAGCCGCCCGCCAGCATGTGCTGGTGTTACTCCTGCATCACGCTGAGACAACAGAATTATTGACAATTCAAACAGAAGAGATGATTGCTGGGGTCGTGGCTTGAGAAGCAATATAGACTGACACAGGAGAAGAAAGGACTGTTTATTTAGAAAAGTTCACCATTAAATGATCAGACAGGATAAACAACTCAGAGAAAATCAACACCTCTTACAGGAAAGGGGAATCCACTATAATTTGCAGATTTTTCTAGGCATCTTAATATGATGCTGAACAAAAGCCTCTCAAATATCCTCCACTGGATAAACAGTATGATTGTGAAAAATCTGTGTTTTGTTGTTGTACCTCTTTCTGTATTTTTTCTGAATTATATTTAAGCATAGTATAGTGTATCTGATGTCGGCAAGGCACCTAATTTAGCATTAATCCCTCTGGGTGGAAATACGAGCCATATGTTTATGTTAGTCACAGCAGCACTATGTAATTTGACCATTTCTGAACAGATTGATATATTTTCACCTAAAAGAGACTTCTGAAAACTTTTATTCACTTTTGAAGCATCAGCAGCTTTCAGGACAGAGGCCACACAAGTTTTCTAATCTTATTTTATTTAATTTCTCTGCTGGTCTGACTCTGATTAGAGGTTCGGATAAAATGGTGATTCCTCTCTGCTTTGATTCTGTTAATGTATTCCTTGGCTCTCGTTCACACAGCAGCAACTGCAAGTAAATAAATTTGAACAAAGTTGTAGCAGAGCAGCACTGGGGTTCTTTGGGGTGGCCATTATTACTTGATTTCCAGATGGTCTGGGTTTTAAAAAAATATACTCAATCTCACTTCATCAATACATTTCACAAGAGTATGGAAACCAGCAGAGAAACGAATCTTTCCAAGTGCCCTCCATGCACGTAAAGAGCTTCCACCTTGGAAGCCGGCAGGGGGCATGTAAAAAAAATGAGTTTTAAAAAAAAGTTGCACATAGAGTAATTTTAATCCATTCCATTTTTAAATACCACAATAATTTTAATTTTCACAATAAATTAGTCATATTTAGTTTACAAAATAGAATTACTTAGTGTGAAACCAGTATTTACAATATACATTATGTACATGACATTTCTCTTTGTTGACATACAACATGGAAGTAAAAGGACTTGACTTTCCAACAGGTGACTGACATGCTATGAGTGACACCATGGTCCGTGTGAGCAAACAATAGTGCAAAATCACGATGGGGACTTTGGAACAATGTCAATTTTATGAGACAGGACATTCTTTTAAATCATAAGAAAATAGCATTTTCTGTTTTCATGGCACCAATTCAGGATCTGAATTATAGAGCCAGCTTTCTCTTAGAAAAAAAATGCATAACTGAATCCTCTACTTCCTGAAGCTTCACAGCCATTGGTACATTTTCACACATTCATCTTTTGGCTTAAATCTATGAAAATGGCGGGTGACAAGTTTCGAATCAAAGGAAGACTAACTCTTTGAGGACAGCTGAAGTCACTTCCTCTCCATACCACCACCTCTTCTATTTTTGTAAATAGTTTAGAAGATGCAACTATGCAGAAAGCAATTTAGTTTTTGCTTTGTAAGTTTTCAGTAGAAAAAGAATTGATCTTATATTTGGTCACACACTGCATATGTACAAGTATACATGGAAAAATGACTTGTATAGCTGTGTCTAGCAAAGTGCATATTTAATCTAGAAGGGACACCATGTGTCTCCAGGCACAACACATAGTGTTGTATGACATTATTTTAGGGCCAGTTCAATGTCCTCCCTGTGATCTGATAAAATTTTTGATTAAAAGGGTGAAAGAATTTGCGCAATTTGGTAATGACAGAGGGGTCCACCTCTGGATGAATGCGCCCCTTGCTGCCTGCCAGGCACTTATTAAAGATAATATTAAATCGTAAGCAGTAAAACCCTCTGGTAGCATTGAAATATAAATTGTATTGACTTATTCTTGGAGGAAGATTTAGAAACTTCTCCACGAGCTGAAGTTCTGGCAGAGGTTCTGTGATGAGGCGATCTCCATCCACAATGTGAAACTGCTCAATTGGGAAGTATTTCAGCCACCGCTCCAGATGTTTTGTGTAGATGCTGGTTCTTACTGCCTTGTATTTTGTGTTCACTTCACAGGTATGAGAGTCTATGGCCAGCTTCTCAAACTTGTAATAAGTTTTGTTTTTCCTCTCCTTCCCTTCTAGCACCTGAGTATAATCAGAAATAGCTCTTGTGGTTGGCTCCCTGACAATGATCAACAACTTGATGGATGAGTTCATTTTGTAAATCCTTTCAGGAACCTCCTCAGTAATAAAATATGCTGGGCTTTTTTCAATTGTGATTTGCTGAGGGTATGAAAAAGGCATCTTTTTCCTGTACCACTCAATGCCCTTGGCGTAATTCTCATCATTGTCAAAGAAGTGGATTTCTTGGGAGGCTTTGACCACTGCCGGATGGAGGTTCAGCATCTCCAGCAGGGCCCTCGTGCCCCCTTTCCTCACCCCGATGATAATGGCCTTGGGGAGCTGCTGGACCAGGTCATGGAGGCGAACCTGCTCCTTGGAAGTATTGCCCTTTCGAAATTCATGCAGCAGGCCACGCTTAAACTGCAGGGCACGTAGTGGGAACTCAGCCTGACTGCTGGCTCCACCAAACCGGCCTTCAACAGGGCAAATGGGCTGTAGCCTGAAAGCAACAGACAGACACAGTGAGATCATCACAGCTGACTTCTTGTTCTCTGCTTTTCCAGTTAGATGAGGACTTTCAGTGCATGGATAGAACCACTGGTTCCCATCAACCTGCTGCAATCTGCAACAACGTATGTTTGGGACATTTATTTTAAGCAACCCTGCATTAAATAGAGCACACATAATTGATGGGATTTTTTTATTAGTGCTCCTTAAAATTTTTATTCACCAAGCACTTAATTAACTATGGCGTGTACTTATGCTCACAGTACAGAACAGACAAGTGACATCAGCCACACTAATAGCTTTTTAACAGCTCACCAGTTAAAATCATTTAGAAAACATGAAAGACAGAAGATTATAATCTTTAGTTGAGAGGCTAAAGGGTAGATAAGAGGCCATTGCTTTGAGTTTCATATCATATTATTTTCTTGAAGCACAGCAACACTCAATGTCATTGTTAAAAATCCTTAAGATATAATCTGAAAAGAATTCCCAGTCTCTACCTTTGGCTACCTGCATCATCAGCCTGCAAAATTTCAATCTCAGCGCTTGCTTAGCTTTTTATTCTATAAGAATTTTTGCTCTTAGCTTAGGGGACAACCAGAGAGTACTACACTTCCTTTGCTTCTTTTCTTTGTCTAAGGAGGTCAGAGTTATGTTTTCACTGAATGTAGGAACAAAGCCAGTCACCATCAGCAAGTACGATATATCACCTACTGCATCTGGAACTAGAAATCAACACGTCCTTGATGGGCCAGAAACCTCAGATTTTCACTACCAAGCACATTTAAGTCAGAGACTAGAGTTCATAAAAAGGCAATGTAGGTGACAGAGCCAGAAAACAGGATTTTCATCTCAACATTATCTTATGTAATGAACAATCACCTGCGTTTTTCTGACAAAGTTATATTAATGGTTGCAATGGTAATAGGTTGGAATAATGGTATAATTTGGCATGAGCAATGTGTATGGTTAAAAATTGAGTTCCCTTTTACATTTAGTGTGAAATGAGCTGATATTGTAATTTTCCTAAGTTGATCTGGCAAGGCATTTTAGTTTCCTTTGGAAAGAAGGGGTAACATTAATCTAAGTGGCTGTTAAACCAATTTCTCCAACTGAAAGCTCCCAGGTATCCTAGTAATTTGACGTCTATGCCTCCCTCTCTGTAACAATGAGATTTGCTTTTCCCAAGAGAACTTACCATGTCTCGAAGTCATGCTAAGCTTATTTTGTAGACCTTGGGGAAATGGTGTTGTTCTGTACTCTGTTTAAGCAGCTATCATGGTGCTTAAGGAAAAATGAACATATCTTACTTTTTTCTAGTGTTTGTTTTCCAAGATTTTTGAAACCATTCTAGTTGTGGAAAAGTATGAAAAATGAAAAATTATTAGGAACACAGGGTTTATCACAGCTAATACCTTTGAGAAACATGAATTTTATTTTTATAAATTTTTTAATGGTATTAATATGCTAGAGCTCTCGAGAGAAGCTATAAAATTATCAATAGATATGCAGATACTTTTTATTTTTCACATGTTTATTTTATTACAATAATTAGCACATATTGATTGAACAATACAATATGTGTTCCTTTGTGACATTTTCATAATACTCAAGCATGTTTCTAACTGAAATTCTTCTCGGGTTCTGGCTGAGAACTAAGCTCTGCGTGTTAAGGCATCCACTGATGGACACAGAGCCAATGAATCTGGAGTGATGCTTGTATTGTCTTTGGGAGAACCGAGGAAATAGTCCCAGAAGCCCTTTTGTGAAGAATTTAATTCTCTCACAGAAGCCTCGCTACAAGAGGCTGGCATAGGCTCTCCGCCTGCATTGGGCAGGGATGGAATTTCCTCACCTTAGAAAGGACCCTATTCCTTCCTAACTTCCTCCTTCTACTTCCTGTCCTGGCAGATGGCGCCACGCAGCACATTGCTTTTTGGACTCCGCAACACAACAGAACATGTAAAGACAGCAGACAAACAGCACACTTTCCCCCAAAACATAACCCTGGTCTCAGAATCGGAGACCAGATTCTGATCATGAGTTCACAACCAAAAAACATACAGTTACAGTTAGAAGAGACTGTAGAAGTAACTGCCTCCTTCACAGCTATCAGGGTCTTCAGTTCCTGAAGAATAAGCCTAGTTATGCATATGTCAATTTCAGACTTAAATCTGTTCAAACTCTGAAGTGAGGGACTTTGAGAAAGCCCACCAATCTGATTCCTTATTTTAAAAAAAGCTATCCCACTGCAGATTAGATAATAAGTTAAAAAGGAAAAGAATCATCAACTAAATAATGACCATCTTAATGACTGCTAGATCAATTACTCAATTAAAAAGTAAATGATTGGAAGCTAATTAAAGATATCAGGAATGAGCTGACATAGCACTCCACCATGGACCTGAGACAACGGAACCACTGCAAGGCTTTTTCCTAAGTGCTACTTTAGGAAACTGGTTGAGGTGCTGACCTCAAGCGATAGCTCTCAATATACTTCTTCCATGGCAGGTAACAACTACAGGATGTTTACTGAAGAATTTTACATTGAAAAACATCAAAGGGATTCATTTTACCGAGCAAAACTGACACTGGCTGAAGGAAAGTAAGGACCAGAACTATATACTATTTTTGAATATCTAAATAATAAGGTATACAGATTAGCTTGAGCTTTGCAAAGAAATCTGGAAAGCACGTATTATCACTTTAATGTGTAGCTGTGTTTTCAGACAGTGGGAATTGAGCTCAAAGACAGCATATGTCAGTCTTTGTGGTACAATATGCATTTTCTTTTTTTGTGTGTGTGTTTTTTTTTTTTTTTCTGGTACCAGGAATCATACTCACAACCTTGTGCTTGCCAGGCAGGCGCTGTGCTGCTGAGCTAAATCCCCAGCCCCAAGTATGCATTTTAAAGGGCAAAGAAAGAGGCTTCACATTTGTGAAATTAACTCCCTGTACCTAATACTCACACTGGATGTAGAACAGCCCAAAGCATTTAATGGACAGTCAACTGATATTGCTGGGACTTCTGCGGGTCTCATACCTCTCTACTGTTTGCATATTTACAATCAAAACTTGATTCTGTAATTTCCCCTCCATGGATTTTGCACTGCCTTTTGGGCAGTTACCCTGAACGGCAGCCTCCTTGTCTGATGTGTTCAGCTCCTGAAAACCAGTGCTAATTAACGTAGTTAAAAATCCATGCCTGAAGCCATCTTTCCAGGATGAGGGATTGCAAACTTGATGAGCTCCTTTATGGAACATACATAATTTTAACACCCCTGAGAGCACATTAACTGTCCACTCATATATTTCAAAATGAAGAGACAGTCATATGAACACTATTTTGCTATGGCCAGGGGTCAGTACCAGATGCACACAGACTGCACTGTGCTTTAGTAAACTTTCTTTTTTTAACCATACACAGCTCTATTTCTTCTCTGAAAACAAGTGTCAAGGTACACAGAATACAAATGGATCTTGAAGAAGCACCTTGGCTTGAGCAACTAGAATCTCCTTTTTTTAAAAAAAAGTCTTCACAAATCAAAATCAATAAAGCAGCAAAGCATGTTTCTCGGGAATTTTGAGGGAAGAAAACAAATACGTAGACTTAAAGGTACATCCTAAGGAAGCTTAAAGCGAGAGCTACCAAATCATAGGGGCACAGCATGTGTTTAATCACTCACCTATCCAAGCTCCCAACTCTGGCAACTAGATACAGGAGACTGCCCACAGCAAGGCTTCCCAGCACCAGGAGCTTCTGTCTCAGCCACACCTGCTGTTTGAATAGCATGGCCCTCCATCAACCTTCAGGACGGCCGCAGCCTGCCACGGGGAGAGAAGGACTTGTCAGCAGTCATCCTTACAGGTGGAGCTGATTGTCAAAAATCCAAACAGAGGTGGAGGACAGGTGATTAAGTGACACTGCATAAAAAACAGACCCCATACCAAGCTTGGCAATTTGCGTGGGTTAACAGGTATTTAGCAAAGCTTACCTTTTTCTTCTGGCCTGTGCTACAACATCAACTATTAAATCTAGGGGGTAGATATATTTAGAATATCAAGGTGAATGTTGAAATCCGAGTTCAGTAAACTGTCATTCCAGAATAACAATGATGCATTTCGCTGGCATATTTTTGTTTTGTTTACTTGTAAACAGGGAAAAGGGTGAGAACAAAAGTGACTGTTTATTACACTGAGCTTATCAGTGTTAACTATGGGTCCCCCGAGTTTGAGAATAGCAGCTCTGAGGCTCCTTGCTGCTTCTGTTCATGTTCCCTGTCTTGGATTGTGAAAACGCACTCTGACTAAATGCTTAAAGAATTTAACAGGCCTTGTTCTTACATTCCAGTTTACCTAGAAGTTTTACTCTTTCATACCTGCAATAATGTCTGCAGAGGAATGTGGGACTTACCCAATGCTATTATTAAGTTTTAGGAAAAAAAAACCCCACAAGCTCCCAATTCAAACTTTCTTATTAAAAATAAATCTAATCCCCCTTTCAAGATAAGATTGTTTGCTTCTTATTGAAATTCAAAATACTAATTCAAGAAAAAGACAGGTAAGCAATGGTTAGAAATTGTTTTGCTGCAGTAGAATCTCCATTTTATTATATGATGATATTTTCTGTGCCAAAGAGGTGTAGTAGGATTGACTGATTGATCTCTTTTCTCATTCATCAAGAACTATTAGAGGATGTACATGAGAGAATTCTGAAAAAGATACTATAGGAGTTTTAGCCCCTGGAAAATTGACCATGTGACCATGTGAATTCTAAAAAAGATACTATAGGAGTTTTAGCCCTTGGGAAATTGACCATGTGACTAAGGGATTATGAAACAACTTGAGAACACAACTCAATTCATTTTGGGGAAACAAAATTAAGTCAAAGGTCAGAGAATGTGGGCTCTATGAGGGCTCTTTGTTGCCATTTTTGTTCTTTTGGAACGTGGTACACGAATTGGTGAGGGGCTGTAGGAGAGCACCCAGGAGTACAGTTACTTAACAGTAACTCAAGCAAATACTTATGAAACATGCCCTGTGTGCTAGATTTTGCTTTTGTACTGGGTGCTAAAAAGAATAGCGGTCAAATAAACAGACACAGTTCTTGCCTCATAGGAATCCACAGTCTAGTGGAAGAGATAGATTTTAAAGCCATACCTTATGTAGGGTTAATATACACTGACAAATTATAATAATGTAAACCAGTTCGTACACATTGTGTTAAGTGTGACAAAGAGAAATTATAGGATCTAATGAGAAAAAGATGGTGAGGGGTCTACACCATCTCTCCCTGAAGAAGCAACGACACCTGAGCCACTACTCAGAGAATAGCAGGAAGCAAGAGTCGGACAAAGTGGAGTTTGGGCCGAGGAACCATAATGTGTAAAGGGAACAGGGAGGGAAAATGCCTGATAAGTTTGAAGTGAGTGAGGGCAGGTGTGGCTGGCAAAGGACTGGAGGAGGAGAGAGAACAGCAGGAAAAGCAAAGAAGGAACAATTAAGAAGGAGCTTTGCAGGGGCCTTTGTGGGCCTGGGTTTTGACTCAGCAGGGCTTGCCCTATGCTCAGTAAAACGGGAAGGTGAATGGGAAAGACAGTGAGCTTCACTGAGATTTACTATATGGTAAGTACAATTGTCCAGGTGGCATTTCAAATATATGGGTGGAGTTACTTCCATTTCACAGGCAGGTAAAGTAAACTCATGATTTTTTCTCACGTGCTTTGTTCACACAAAGGGCAGGTCCTAGGAAGGTAAAGGCAGCGACCTATGCAAAGTGACTCAGAACATCACTGAATCAACCTCCTTTGCATTGATGTCCAATGTCTTCAGTTAGAGCCACATGCTGCAATCATAGGGCTCAGAGCTCTGTTAAGATGGACGTACTGCAGCGAGATGTACAACCAGGTGGCAGAAAAAGAAAAACCAAGTCCCCCAGCTAAACTCTCCCTTAGTAGACATGTTCCTGAGGTTAGAGTCCCTGGGCTTTTTTTTCTTAGCCAAAAGATAGGACAGGCTCTGACTGCTCCACTCCAAAGTGCTGGGGTGAGAATGAAATGAGGGCTCCAACAGGTAGTATCACACTAAAGCTTTATCCTTCATATTTTAGTGTGAATGAATTTGATGTGCATTCCAGATGAGTGATGTGACAGAACAAAACTATCCTGTGGCTGCATATGGGAGTGAAGAGAAAGTGAGGGTAGAATGTGCTTTATGGGGAAGAGGTCACCAGCCTTATACAAAGGACCTGGTAGATGTGTCTGCATCTTTTAATCTGTTGCATTTATCCTCAGGTCTGATTTTTTTTTCCCACTACCATTCTAATTTTATCACAGTAGCTTTGTAGTATAATTTCAAGTCTGGGATTGTGATGCTGCCTGCCTTGCCTTTGTTGCCCAGGATTGCTTTTGCTATTGTAGGTCTCTTCTGGTTCCAGATGAACTTTAGGAGTGTTTTCTCTAGATCTGTGAGGTATACTAATGGTATTTTGATTGGGACTGCATTGAGTCTGTATAACAGTTTTGGGAGTATGGCCATTTTCACAATGTTGGTTCTTCCTATCCATGAGCAAGGAATATCTTTCCATTTTTTGAAATCCTCTTTGATCTCTTTTTTCAGAGTACTGTAATTTTCACTGTATAGATCTTTTACTTCCTTTGTTAGGTTGATTCCAAGTATTACATTTTCTTGGATGTTATTGTGAAAGGTGTGGTTTCTCTAATTTCTTTCTCAGTGTGCTAGTTGTTTATGTTCAGGAATGCTATTGATTTTTAACTGTTGATTTTGTATTCAGCTATGCTACTGAATTTTGTTATTAAATTTAAGTCTTTTGGTGGAGTTTTTGGGGTCTTCTATATACAGTATCATGTCATCTGCGAATAATGGTAATTTCACTTCTTCCTTTTCTCTCCTTATTCTTTTTATTTCTCTCTGTTGTCTAATTGCTCTGGCTAATGTTTGCAGAACTATGTTGAATATGGGTGATGACAGTGGACATCCTTGTCTTATTTCTGATTTTAAAGTGAAAGTTTTCAGTTTTTGGCCATTTAGTATAATGTTAGCTGTTGGTCTGTCATAGATGGCTTTGATCAGATTGAGGTAAAGACCATCTATTCCGATTTTCTGTAGAGTTTTTGTCATGAATGAGTATTGGACTTTGTCAAAAGGTTTTTCTGCATCTATCGAGATGATCATGTGATTCTTGTTTTCAGCTCTGTTGATATGGTATATTGCATTTACTGATCTGCATATATTGAACCATCCCTGCATTCCTGGGATGAATTCCACTTGGTCATGATGTATAATCTTCTTGATGATTTGATGCATTCTGTTTGCTAGTATTTTATTGAGGGTTTTTGCATCTATGTTCATTAGGGAGACTGGCCTGTAGTTCTCTTTTTTGGTTGAGTCTTTTTCTAGTTTTAGTATCAAAGTAATACTTGCCTCCAGGAATGCATTAGGGAGAATTGCTTCCCTTTCAATTTCATTAAAGAGTTTGAAAAGAATTGGCATTAAATCTTCTCTAAAGTTCTTCTAGAAAACAGGTGCGAACCCATCAGGACCTGGGCTTTTTTTGTTGGTAAGTTTTTAATTACATTTTCAATTTCATTTAGACCCATATGTGTAAACATCATGTTGTCTCCCTAGTGTAAGAAACTGAAAGAATAAATAAAATTCAAAGGGTACAATAGATATTGTGAAAGGAAAGAAACTGCTAGGGAAAGGAGAAAAGAAAGAAGGGAAAAATAATATATATATTATTATGTGTGTGTGTGTGTGTGTGTGTGTGTGTGTGTATACACACTCAAGGCAGCTAAGGTAATTGTACTACTAATTTCTATTGGTTTACTGTAAGGAATAGTTAATGTTTAATTTTTTGACCAATTATACATGCATCTATCTGATAATCAGAACAACTACTTAGCAGTAACAATATGCAATATAACAACCATTGTTGACTTCCTATCATCTTGTTTCAAAATTCTGTATCACTTTTAATGTTTTTTCTCATTTTTAAAATTCTCTTCAAAATTAAAAAAAATGGACCTGGTAGAGAAAGGTAGGGAAGCTATCTGGCTTTCTCAACTACTTAAATGTAGTCCCCACACTCTCCTAAAAAGTATATTGTACAATGCATTACACACTTTAACCAGATCATTGGTCCATCTGTCTGTATTTAGAACTAGCTCTTCAGGGAATGGGATATGTAGCACTTCCTCCATGAGGCCTTCTGTAGCTGAGGCTCCAGTGTACAGTCTTCCTCCACCTCCACTGTACTCTGGTTCCTATAGTCAGAACTGGGGCTTTACTTGTGCCCTGACCTCCTGGAGGTCACAGACACAGGCGGTCCATGCTCACTGCCAGTGAAGCCCACATCTGGCTCCTTTGCACACCCTGAGCTGACCGGAGATGCAGAATCAGGCAGTCCATGACCTGCTGACATCAAGGTTCACTCCTGAATGCACAGAGAACCAGGTATTTCCCTACTACTTCCTGGGGGCAGAGTAGGTGACCCATGGCCCTGCTGCCATTACAGTGTGAGTCTCTGCCCTCCATGCACCTGGTGCAGACAGAAGATGCTGACTCAGAAGGCCCATGAACTGCTTACATGGGGGTTCGCGTTTGGGCCCTACCTGCATGTCCCCTGCACTGCCTGAGGTACTAGAGCAGGTGGTGCATGAACAGCTAGCACTGCAGTTCAAGGGTGAGCTTCACTTGTGTCCTGACCTCTTTGTGGTCACAGACACAGGTGGTCCATGATCGCTGTCAGTGCCGGCCACATCTGGCTCCTTTGTGCACCCTGAGCTGACTGGAGATGCAGAATC